TAATTTATAGAGGGTCTTTGTCATGAATGAGTGTTGGATTTTATCAAATGCTTTTTCGGCAGGGAAAGTGTAGGAAACAAAAGGGGAGGTTATTCCCATTAGTGGGCTGTTATGAGCAATCTTGCAGACTCCAGACTGCTGACACCTCGATCTTAGACTTCCCAACCTCCAGAACTGTGAGAAATAAGTTTCTGCTCTTTATAACTTATCCAGTCTCATATATTTTGTAATAGCAGTGTGAATGGACTAAGACACTCTATAAGGAGGTATACAAAGAGGTAGGAGGGACACGAAGGAGATGTCAATTCTGTGGAGGGCAGGGAGAGGTAGTGTGAAGGAAGGCTGCCCAGAGTGGAGCTAATGTTTTGCCTAAATGCTGAAGGAAAAGCAAGAGTTCTTCAGGAGATGAGGGGAGGGAGAGGAAGAGCATCCCAGGTAGAAGGAATAATGGGAGTAAAGACACAGAAGCATGAATTGTTGATTTCGCTGCAGCTTAGGGAGGGAAATGTAAATAGTGCCTCTGGACAGCGGGCAGGAGCCATATCACCTAGGATCTTGTAGGCCATGTTAAGAAAGTCATCCTGTGTGCCAGTTTTCCCTAAGGAATACTCAAAGAACACAAGTATTCCCAGAATAACTCGAAAGATATAGATCCATTATATACATACTATGGAATATTTATTCAGACTTAAAAAAGGAAGGAAATTCTGACACATGCTACGACATGGACGAACTTGGAAAACATTATGCTAAGTGAAATAAGCCAGTCACAAAGGAACAAATAGTGTATGATTCTACTTATATGAGGTACCCAGAGTAGTCAAGTTCACAGAGACAGAAAGTACAACACTGGTTGGGGGCAGGGGGTGTGGAGTGGGGAATGGGGAGTGATTGTCCAATGGGTAAAAGGTTTCAATTTGGATGGTGAAAAAGTTCTGAAGATGGATTAGTGGTGATGGTAGCAAAACGATGTGAATGTAGTTAATACCACTAAACTGTACACTCAAAGAGGGTTAAAATAATAAATTTTATGTTATGTATATTTTACCACAATTTAAAAATAAGCAAAAATAAATAAGATATAAAACAAGTGTTTAGAAAAATAATCCAAAGTTGTTGTTCTTTCCTGACATTAACATTAGGTATGTGATTTCTTTGCCAAAACTGATAATAATGATTTGCTTCTGTTGTATAATAATGGCTATCATTTACTGAAAACTAGCACTGCGTTAGCTTTACATCCGTAGAAATTGGGGAGCTCCAGGTTTAGAGAGGTCATCTCATTGTCCCAAGGGCACACAGCTAGGTCTGGGGAACATTTCTAAGAGTCCTGGAATTGGAACTCAAGGCTTTTAGGTTCCAAACACCTTGCACTTTCACTAATCCCCAAGCTGCTTGATTATCTTGCTATTTTTTTGGATATGTGAACATTTTCCTTAAAGAAAAAAATTCCTCCTTGATCTCCAAAGAAAGTATTTGGTGTTTTTTGAGTTCAGAAAGTGTGAGAAGCCCGAAGTATTGCAGAATGAAATGTTTATTGAGTGTTTACTGTTGATCTACATCTGAAACATTTGAAGGGTTTTGACCCCCTGCCAGAGACCAAAAGACCATTCAAAATGAGTCTAGATGCAACGCATAGTAACTTCTGAGCTATCCGCCTGATACAGAGGGGAGGAGGGTCTGCACTTTTGGTGCGGCTCTTATCTGGAGAATACGGCCTTCCAGCCCCCTGCAGTCAGCCTCTTCCACCCCAGGTACACGCCCCTCCAAGAGACCCAAATCGTGCTTGTGCGCAGGCGCAAGGCGAGAGCGTCGCTCGGCGTCTGTGTTTTGTCGCCTGGAGCTTCTGTGCACCCGAGTGGTTCCCCCGGCTTCATTTCCCTCTTCGCCTTGGGCTCGGGGTTGCCCCTGCCCCTAATCCAGGCCCTCTCTAACTCCTGCTCAGGCCAAGCCCGGCGCGGCCTCTACCCTCTGACCCCGTGTTGCACAATGCCCGAGCAAAGTCTCCGGGGGTGTGTACCCGGGCGTCTCTGCCCCTGGGCGGGGACGGGCGGCGGCCGTGCGGAGACCTGAGGCGGCGAACACGCAGCCGGCCCAGTCCGCGGGCCCAGATCCCGCGAGTGCCGAGAGCCGCCGCCGCCACAGGCCCCCGCGCTTCACGGCCCCGCCACCAGGCCCGTCCGCCGCTCCCCTCACAGGCCCGCGCCGCCGCCGCAGCCATGGCGGAAGTTCATAGACGTCAGCATGCTCGGGTTAAAGGAGAAGCCCCCACGAAATCCTCCACACACAGAGATGAGGAGGAGCTGGGGATGGCGTCGGCCGAAACGCTGACCGTGTTCCTGAAGCTGCTGGCCGCCGGCTTTTACGGCGTGAGCTCCTTCCTGATCGTGGTGGTGAACAAGAGCGTGCTCACCAATTACAGGTAGGGCCGAGGCGGCCGAGGCCGCGGAGGAGGAGCGGGCGGCGGCGGCGGCGCGCCGGCTCCCTGGACTTTGACTGCCAAAGTTGAAGCTGAACAAAGTTGGGCGGGAACTGGGGAGGGCGGGCGGCGGAGCCCGCGTGGCGCGCCGGCCTGGAGTTGGGGTCCCACTCCCCGCGCAGAGCTCCGGCCGGCCCGGTGCGCGTTCAGGCGGCGCCTGCCGTTCTCTTGGTGCAACGCACTGAAAACCCTGCCTTTCGCAGCGTTTGGAGCATTGGAGCAAAGTTTCTTGGGGACTCTGGGCCCCGATGCATGTCAGCAGGGAGGAGAGCGAGGGATGCTATCTCTCCTCCGCCTCCTGCACCAGAGTCAGGGCTTCAGTGTCCCCTGTACCTGCTGACAGCCTCTGGGGACGTGCGCATACTCACGCCCATTTACGATTATTCTGTCGCTGTCACTGGGATTCTGAGGCAGAAGGGGTTTTTTTTGTCTTTTTTTTAAAGATGTGAAACCGTTGCAGAGATCTAAGTCCTTCCTTGAAAAATCCATTGTAGGCAGCTAACTGAAATTGTAACAGTCGGACAAGATGAGACAAGTGGCCTCCCGAGGCTACAGTATCAGCGGTGTGTCCTGACAACCGGCAGGGATTTTTCTCTTTTATTGGGATAAGAGGGAGACGTTGTTGTAGATTGTATCAAAATATATTTTAAGGTTGCCGATATGCAAATTGAATTCACAGAGCTAAGTTTGAGTTTTTCTGACCCTGTTTTGTTTTCTTCTTTCTTTAACCTTTTTGTAGATTTCCCTCCTCACTATGTGTTGGACTTGGCCAGGTTAGTTCGAATCTTCAGCATTACGTGGTTTATGTTGTTAGAACTTCTGTGTGTGTCTTTATATGTAGAACAGTGAATCTGTGTTCTCTGTTTACAGATGGTGGCCACAGTGGCAGTTCTCTGGGTGGGAAAGGCGCTCAGAATAGTCAAGTTTCCTGACCTTGACAGAAATGTACCTCGAAAGGTAAAAGAAAAAGAAAGTAATACTTTGTTTTATGAGCAGTCACCATGTATTTTTTTTTATCAGTGCCTTGCATATTTAAAAATTGCAGTCTTGAAATCTCCCAATCTAAAGTGAGTATAATTAAGGTAAACAGTAAATGTAATAATACATGTTAACATCTCACATCTCTTTAAGATTAAGAAGAAGAAAAAAAATTAGGGATCTTCTGTGTTAATTAATGCACACTTGTTGGGAGCACAACAGTTTTACAGAAACTGTATCCATCTAATCTAGCCAGTGTGTCCTGCATTCATTGTTCTTTGAATTTATTTTCATATTCTTCTGTCTGCTTTTGCTTGACTCCAGGTGAAGACAATATGCCTTTTCCTTTTCTGCCGACAGTAGAGCCATGGGTTAATACATTATCATACTTTAAAGCAAATGGTGTTTCTGTCTCTTATTGGTTGATCATATTCATATTTCTGTTTCTTTTCTTCCTTGCCTTCCTCCCTTTCTCTCTTTCTGCCATAGTAGTGCTGTTAATCCAAGAATAATGTTGTTTGGGTGTTTCATGGGGGTCAAGTTTGTGTCTGAGAACTAATCTTATGTTTTAAGTGGAAAGAATTTGATCTTATAAACAAAACTGTTTCTGTTTGAAAGGACCTTGTTTTAGCTATCTTTATTATTGAGTTTTGTTATCCCTTTTTAAATTTTCTAGACGTTTCCACTACCTCTACTATATTTTGGGAACCAAATCACGGGACTGTTCAGCACAAAGAAACTGAAGTATGGATAACTTTATTTTACTAGTGAGGTTAATATAATGTATTCTTAAAATTGTACTTGAATGTCAAATACTTAACACATTGTTATTGATTCTGAAAATAAGAAAAGGGCCAGAAAGCTTCTATTACTAAATAATGAAGATTGCACCAAAGGTTTTTAGTTTATGTTCTTTTCCTTTGAAGCAAAAGAGTTTTTTGTTTATATCCCCCCCCTCGCTTTGATGTTAGAAGTCTTAAAATGTTATAAAATGCTGTGATAGGAGATTTTCAATTTTTTCCAGACCTGCAGTAGTGAAGGATATATGCTAGGCTTCTGGGATTTCAGTTCTTTAATATAGTTCATAAATATTATATTTTAGGCAAATTCCACAGAGCAAAATCAAAGGGTGAGCATGAGAAGTTTTGCAGTTTTTCTTTTAATTAAGTAGTTAAAATAACATCAGCTAGAATCCTGATACAAATAAGATTAATATCTTACCCATGGCAGCATAACTCTCTACTCCATGAAAACACTGTCTGATTACCCTGTAACCTCTCAACTCCTGGCTTCTCAACTTAAGTAGTGTGATATATATTGGGTGTCTGTGATATTAAAACAACACACATAGGGAAACCATTTAACAGATGCCTATGGCTTCACCACTTCCACACCAGCTAAAGCCCTAGCACATTGGATGATTGCAAAACAGAATGGGGAAATCTTTGAGGATCAGAGACAAAATGTTTTTCATTTCCTCGTTTTTAAACGTGAGAAACCTGACAATGACCAAGATGATATCTCTGGGGACCGTTCCAAGGAAGTCATATGTATCATGGGTGGGGGCATCCTTTTCCATCTCATTACCCACTTGGAAAGAAATGCAGGTCTGCTGCATTGTGTAGAGTTAACTTTGTTCATCTATTGTCATCTGTCTGTTCATTCACACCCTGTCTTTGATTGCCAGCTAAGTAATAAAGCACTTTGGAGTGAGATAAGATATATTCAGAAATAACTATATTGCAAGAGGGTGTATGTTTGAGTAGTGCAAGCAAAATGCTCTGGGAATTTAGAGGAAGACAAAATTACTTCCACAAAAGGACAGTCAAGGAATGTTTCATGGGGTAAGATTTTCATAGATGTTTTTTGGGTGGTCTGTGGGGTGGGAAGGGAAGTCAGTCCAGTGAAGAAAGGAGAAAGAAGCCTTTTTCTATTCAAGACTAAAATGGTTACAGTTCATGGTATTCGCATATTTAGCAGAATAAAATAAAGAAAGTGGATGTTATTAGTTTGTGATAATAGATGTGTGATCACTACCTTTTTGTAGTTAATTTAATGTTTCTCACTTCTGGTAGTTTTTTAAAAGTGACTCTTTTAGGCTTTCAAATAACTGTTTCTAGAGAGAGGAGTTTAATTTAATCACAGATTAATCAGCATGGAATTTCATAATGGAAGGAAGCGATTAGCATATTTTCAATTGCCAATTTGAAAAATCTTGGTTTAAAAAAAATAAATTGTTTAACTTTATTTTACCTAGTTTTCTTTTTTTTTTTGTAGCTTGCCAATGTTTACAGTTCTGAGAAGGTTCTCCATCCTGTTTACAATGTTTGCTGAAGGAGTTTTACTCAAGTGAGCTAAATTTCTAATATATCTATTATTTAAACAACTTTAATGACCTTGAAAAAGTGCCCAGTATATGTGAGATATTAAGATTATTTGTCTTGTTTCTATTTCAACTTTCGAGAAGTTTAATCAACCTTTTTCCTTAGTTATTGGAATTGATAGTTTGTGGGAGCAGTAATGGGAAGGTGTATTGAAGTTGGAAATCTATCTGAACATGAGATTTACTTTCTAGAATTCTGTACTTACTGCTGCCACTGAATGAAGCTGGGTCAAAATCATAGGTAGTGTAAGTTTTAAACAATGTTCGTATCTTAGCTATTTTTACTACAAATGTGTGTGACCTTTTCCTACTGAAATAAATTCTGATCTACAAAAATTCAGTCTCACTAATAATTATAACAAATGGTAAGAATTAGAAAAAATTAGTTCAGTTATTTATATAACAAAATGAGTTTTTGCCTTATCAAAGGAGTTCTTTTAAATATTTAGCTTCTTGGAAACATCTAAAATATGATTGTTTATAGCTTTTTTAAAGAAAACATGTTATGTATTTTTTTCTGCTTATGTTATAAAATGAATCTCTGTGAATAACAAAGTCACATATATGTTTTTTTTTTATTTTTTTATTTTGTAGGAAGACTTTTTCTTGGGGTATTAAAATGACTGTATTAGCAATGATTATTGGAGCCTTTGTAGCTGCCAGGTAAGATGTGAGCCTATGTATAGCACATTAGAAATTGTTGATAATTATTGGTAATAAGTGATCAGTTATAAATAAAAATAACTCTTTTTAGCCTAAGTAAGAATCATATCTTTGAAAAGCATCCAAGGAGGAAGGGAATCTGAAATTAGAGGGTCGTTAGACTGCTTGGGATGGGGGTGTACATTAGGCTACTCCTGTGTAAATTGCAGTGGCATAGAACTGATCAGAAGTCTTGGTTCCATTTAGTAGTTCAGTATCTTTGCAAAATCATAAAATGTGAGGCCACTATTTTAGCTAGTGTGCTGAAGGAATACTTTTCTCAGATTTTCATTTATTCTGTTAAATTTACTAAGTTTTTATCTTGTGCCTGGTACTCGATTAAGTACCAGAAATTTTCAGTTTCCCTAATCCTACTAGTTACATCTTATAGGTTCATTGAGCATTTATTTAAGTATTAGAGTTTTACTGTGTGTTTAGACACTGTTCTAGCTTGATTTCAGAACTGTGATCCACGCTTCAGAAATTCCAGCCAGTGTCCTAACTATTTGTGCAAGATAGTCCTACCTTTTGTGTGAATCTTTAGAAAATGACATGTTAAAAACTTTATCCTTTTGGTTTTCTTATCTGTGAATTTGAGCTCTGATGCCTTCTGCCTTCCTCACAGATGTACTATAATGGTCAATTTGGTTGCTTGTTGTTATCTGACTTTGAAACATGATTGATTACTGCTAATGTTATTTTAAGTGTTAGTGCTTCTCATTTCTGAAGAATCCTTTATTGAGCATGCAGTTACAGACTATGACCAGAAATCAAGAAATGCTAGTAGCTCATAAAATGCCTAATGTCATTTACCGAGATGAGAATATGTTCTTGCAAATGTTATACTTGAGACCTATGTAAAATTAAATGCATGTTCTTTAAACAAATCGTTCTTAAAGTGTTGCTTATGTTTTACAGCTCTGACTTGGCATTTGATCTGGAAGGATATGTTTTTATTCTGATAAACGATGTACTGACAGCAGCAAATGGAGCATATGTAAAACAAAAATTAGATTCAAAAGTAGGTAGCAATCTAAAGCTTCTTTAACAGATGTTTACTGATGTTGGGAATGGTAATGCCAAAGCATCAGGGAAAAAGCAGGGAATAAAGCAAGATGCTTAGGAGGGATGGGAAAGACATGGGGCTCTTTGAGAGTAAAATGCCTACACTTTGGTGCTGACATAAAACCTTAATTTTTTTAATTAATTAACTGTTAGGCTTTATTGCTGGCTTCCCTAGAAGAGATTGCACGAATATTGACTTAGAGTGGTGTAGTGAAAGTAAGGGGTGTTCATTAGAGAAAAGTGTTAGAAGTGTTCATGGTTGTGTACTAGATGACTTGGTGAGGGATCTGGGACAAGAAAGAGAAATATCTGGAAGCCTTTGGGCAGGCATGAAGGTGAGTGAGCATTGGAAGGGGCTGTAGAACAAGGATGGCTTTTGTGTGTTTATCTTACAAATAATGGGAAACTCTAGGGAGTATTAGGATATCTCAGGGGCAACATTGAGTTACCTGGCCTAAATCTCATACATGTGAACTTGGTATTCCTAGTTCTTTGCCCTCCGCTTGCAGCATACACACAAAGGCTTTACAAGATATTTTTGTTTGTTTACTATATTCTTTGAATGTAGACAGATTAAATTTTATTTTTAGATCAAGCCAGATCATCAGAAAGCTGAGTATTTGAGCCATATTGCTTTTGCTACGTTATGAGATTATATTATTGTAAGAAATAGCTTTGTGATACTCAACTTTATATATCATAGGGTGGCTTAAATATCAAGGAATTGCCTTTGATACCATAATGTATCCTATCCATATTTGAGGACCCATATGAGATATTTATCTTAAATGTCACCATAGTTTTTCCTGTGCAGCTAGTATATTTTTATCTCATAATTAAATCTTTAACTGACCATGACTTTATCTTATTTTCCTATCTATATTTTTTCTTCAGTCAGATGACCTTATCTTCTTAGCTTTTAGATTGTTCTGATGTATTTACAGTATTTCTGAAACTACTTCAGGTCCTTTTTTGAAACTCATATCATAACTGCATACAAAGGCCCTACCTACTCCCTAGTAGTATTAGTATTGAGTTGGCATTGTCTTGACGAGGGCTTTGCCTTCTCCTCCAGAAAAGAAGTACAGATTTTATGGCCATCCTAGTAGGTTTCATTATTTTCAGAGAATTTTTTTTGGAATATCCTTGAAGAACTAGGGACAGTGCAGATTTGTTTCCAACACATTCTCTTTAAATACACCTTTTATGTCTTGTCCTGCATCTGTGTACCTGGACGACTCTGTATAATGATTGCATTTTAATGGAAGCTACTAGTAAAACTTTATCTTTTTTTTAATAGCTAAAGAAAAGGGAGCAGTTAGAGATTTGGTCTTACTGTGTTTTTTTCTTAAGCCCATTTGCTGCTTTGGGAAATAGGTGCTAATATAGCAGCTTCAGCTGTCTAAAACAGCACTGTCCAATAGAATTTTCTGAAATGACTCTGCTGTCCGTTAACAATAACTACCCACACGTGGCTATTGAGTATTTGAAAAGTGACTGGTACAACTGAGGATATGAATTAGTAGTTTTATGTAATTATAATTTATTGTGAATAGCTACATGTGGCTGGTGGCTGCCATATTGGACAGCACAATCTACAGGACATCCTAGAACCTAGAAAAAAATAAAGAGGTTTCAGTATTTTATTCCTAGGAGAGCCCATTAGTTCCTCACTAAGAAATGACTTATGGCTTATTTTAATTAGAACTTTTAAGTTCATTGGTCTGCTTTTCCTAGTTCATGCATTAGAATCAACAAACTAGAAGGAAGGATGCATTATGTATGGCCACATTGAGATGCTTTTAATAAATTAGAAGTTTTATTACCAATGATTTCAGGACTGCTTATAGTCATGGTCCTTTGAGCCACAAGTCATACGCATAAAGACTTTGTGCTGCATTTTAGATCTGAATGCAGCTATTGAATTTAAAACATTTTTAACTTAAAGGAAGTCATATAAAATAATACATATTTATGATAGAAATAGTAGAAAACAGGTAAATAAGAGAAAGAAAACGTAAATTTCCCTTAGTCCTACCATCAAGTGGAAGCACTGTTTTAGTGGATATTCTTTACTGTATATGTGTATGTGCATATGTATATGCACTTATCTATATGTAAAAGTTTTAAATGAAAGAGGAATGATACATAATATCTTTTCTTTAATTTTTTTTAATTTTATTTTTTTTGATGACTGGCTGGTGTAGGAATCGAACCCTGGACCTTGGTGTTAGCAGCACCATGCTCTCAACAACTGAACTAACTGGCTATTTCCTAACTTAATATTTTTCACTTAGTACTGTTTCATGAACACCTTTCCATGCTACTCAGCATCATTAAACATTTTTTAGTCGCTGTGTAATGTTTCATTGCATAGCTGTATCATAGTCGAATCAGCTACTTTTCTATTGTTGGATATTTGTTTCCAGTTTTTGAAAGCTGCTTTTGAAAAGGTAGTTTAACTTTTCACATCATTCAGTGGTTTTTCAATCATAGAAGTTAGGCAGATATCATGTCCCTATCCTTACCACTCCTCCATAACCCCCCCCCCAAAAAAAAAATCCTGGTCTACTTTTTCAGGTGACTCTGCTTCTTGCTGAATGTCCCAGAAGTGTGTGAATAAGTCCTTCATTGCTCCCAAAAAGCTGAGGGCACAACTAGTCATAATGTGTTTTGGTAGTTGTGGTAATAGTGACCTTAATCTTCATTGTACTTCGCATACACATTTTCAGAAATACTTCACTGGGAAGTGCTGTCTGTCTGTGTTGGTCTAGCCTGAGTCTGTGTGTCTGGATCTGTCCGTACATCTCTCTTAAGTGGCACTCTGTTATGCTTCTGAAAAGCCCAAGACCAGACTGACTCTTGATTTGATTCTGGAAAGGGAATGGCTTCAGGGATTGTTTTTATGTAGATGAGTATATGTGTTTAAAATAACCAATTTCCTACTTGCTATTTTAAGGCAGCCAGTTGATGTCATTTTTATTTCTTTGAACTTAAGCGCTTAAGGAGCTTACTTCAGATAAGTTTAAAATCTTGTAAGTTTACTTCTTTGGGGGGCCATTTTAAAGTTTAGTTTTTTGTTGTTGTTGGCGGCTGGCCAGAAAGGGGATCCCAACAATTGACCTTGGTTATCAACACTGCACTGAAACCAGCTGAGCTAACCAGCCAGCCTGGTTATTTCTTAATGTTTACAAAATTTCTGACTTAACTTATTTGCTGTGTGTGTTGTGGAGGAAGGCTGTGTGTGTGTGTTTGTGTGTGTGTGTGTGTGTGTGTGTGTGTGTGTGTGTGTGTATGTATGTGTCTGTGTGTATATATATATATATGTATCCATAATTGGGTGATAACTCTGTTAAAGGGTTATGCATATCTGTTTGCTAGAACCAAATGAAACACCTAATTATCTTCTATTCTAGGAGCTGGGAAAATATGGTCTGCTTTATTACAATGCACTGTTCATGATTCTGCCTACCCTAGCCATTGCATATTTCACAGGAGATGCACAAAAGGTAGGACTTTCTAATTATGGTTTAATGGCTTATGTTGGTGAATTGCATTATTTTTTTTATAACCAAAAGATAGACTTTTGGGTTGTTAAAAAGAAATGTGCTTATTAAGTGACCAGAAACTGAGAACTTATTCTCTAGTTTGCTAATGTCATACTAACCTTTTTTATTGGCAAAAGCATTGGATAGTACTAAAATGGCTCAAAATAGCTCTGGCTGTCAGCATAAAAATAGTGTATGTCAACCAGTGTCCTTTTCTTATGTGTCAGAAGGATAGAAGGGAATTTTAACATTTCTGTTATACTGTAAAATATAAATAGTAGCAACCTATCCTTAAGAAACAAAAAACCTTGAAATAGTAAAAATTCTTCAGACCCTTAATAGAATGCTAGGCATTACTAAAAGTTCTCTGTTTCAGTTTACAGTTGTCATCCTGGTTAAATCCCAATCTGTTTCTTTTTTTTCCTCAGGAGATATTTAGCACTGTGTGGTGACTTAACTATATAAATAGCAACTAATATAGTAGTTTACCAATTTTCTGCAAATATTTAGCTAAATAAAACCAGAATAGAGTAGCAAAATAAATTCAGAGGAGAATTTTTCTCTAAAGCAAGTCCATATTCATAGGAGAAAAATTGATACCATATTGTTAGAATTCCCCAAATTTTGCAAACTAAATGGAAATTCACAATTTTGCCAAGAAGTCTGTACCAAGATTCCTTCTAATGATTCTCCTGGCTAGTAGCTTCTTCAGAATGAATGTGTTGGTTGTCCACTCTAATGATACTGATGATTTCCACAGATCAGTGGGAGCTGAAATAAATAAAAGGTTTTTGAAAGTAGTTAGTTATTAAAAAATTGTTCTTGAACCAAAGGCAGGAGACTGACAGCTTATGAAACCACCCCCCTCCTTTTTTGTTTTTTTAATCAAGACCTCTTTCTTTTAAAGAACTGTCACAGATCATCTTGAATACATGTGTAAATGTTTTAATGAACTGTGACCTGGCTGCCAGTAGGCTTAAAAGTGGCCTCAAAGTAAGAAACAGAGCTATTCAAAGAGTGTTGAGTATTTTTTGGCTGTGAAAAAGTGTGATGAGACACTAACATTTATTGAGTCCTATTATGTGTTAGTCACTTGTATACGTAATATAATGTAGTGTTCATAACAGTTCTAGAAAGTTTGAATTATCCTTATTTTACTAATGTGGATGTAGAGGTTCAGAGAGACTAAGTAACTTGCCTGAAGTCATACTGTTAGTGGGCAGTAGCGTCAGGATTTAAACCCAAGTCTGACTCGAAGGGCTATGGTCTTTACACAGTGTTCTGCCTCCTTCTAGCAGAGGCAGCTCTCACTCTTCAGCTTTGGGGCAAGAATGTGGTGTAAAATAACTAGCCCCTCATGGCAGTACACATGGTTCCAAATCTCAAGACCAATCTATATATGAGAAAGTTGGAAAAATTAATGTAGTTAGGCATTCTACGGACTTAGCAAAAATGGAATTTTCATTAATTGGAACTTTGACTAGTAACTTGCAGGTACTTGAAAGAATTGACCAAAGGAGACATTTCTTCATTCCAGAGTGATGATTATTTATGTAGCAGTTGTAGCATAATTCATGCGTATTTCAGAGTTCAGTAACTCACAATCAGTTTGAAATGCTTCAATATAATTAAGATGTTTATTCATAGCGTAAAAAGTTAGAAGCTAGAAGCAGACTTTGGAGACCTTAGAGAACATCTGGTTCAAGACTCGTATCTCATAGATGAAGAAATTGGGGCCCAGATAGGGCCAGGACTAGACCCCAGATTTCCTTATTCTAAGACCAGCACTTTCACTCTTCTCACCATACCACACCGTGCTTCCTTCTAAGTTAGGACCAGTGCTAGACACAGGAATTTGAAGTATACTCTGCACGCAGAAGATCAGCAACCTCCGGTTCCGTTCCTTACTTCTATCTGACTTTGCACAAGTCCCTTCTTTTCTCCCACTGTGCTTTGTCATGTGTAAAATGAGTAGTTTGGATAAAATGTTCTCTAGTTAGAGCCATTTGTAGGGCTGAGACAGTTTCTGAGGAGTAAAAACATGCCAGTGTGGATGCCTGGCTGCTATTTTCACAGCTGGCATAAGCTTGGTTCTCCCTGATAATCAGTGTTGATAAACTGCTCCCGTCTCTTGAAATCCAACAAACTAATTTGTGTGTGTGTGTAATTTTTTTTAGTTTATTCAGGGTTTTCAAAATCTTGGATTTTCTAAGAACCAAGGAACTAGTATATTCAGCACTTAGTTTTTTTCTGAAACATGTGTTTTCTAACTTCAAAACATTCTTTTTGTTTAAAAAACAAAAAAAACTATGTGTCATGCCAAAGCCAGCTTATCTAGTTAACATAGGTGAAGGTGGAGTAGATGTCACTTTACTGACTTTCCAAAGTATCAGGACAGATTGCATTTAAACTTATTAGTTGCTACCTCCAAAAGGGAATCTTTGCAGCAGAAAGCCTATGATTCACAGAGTCACAGGAGTTGGAGCTTGGCTTTCTTGCAAAGACACACCTTTGCTGTGGATCTCACAAGGCCAGTACTGTGGGCACTGGTACATTGTATAATGTCTTCATTATGTCACTGGTTAAATTACATGGCTCAGAAGTGTTACAAGAAAAGTTGCTACACAGATCATCTACCCTGAGGTGTCTCTTACTGAACGTTGCTGACTAAATAATGTAGAAATTTTACGTTTGGTTAGCCTTTCCATAGTTGTTATTCTTTTGTGGATCACTGTATGGCCAATACAGATTGATTTTCAGACCCTGAGTTATTCTCTTCTCATTGACAGATCCCTTCTGTTTTCTGGGCCTTGGTGTTCTCATATGTAAAACAAGAGGATTGGATCAGTTATTCTGTAGTTATGAATAGATCTTTCTCTTTCTGTGTATATTGTTTGACTGACAAAGTAATGTTTTTAGCCATTATTTCCTTTGAGGATATGCCTTTTTTAATAAGAGCAAGTGACCTTTTTTAATAAGGCAGAGTGTTTAGTTTTGCCATGATATGTAGATTTTATATAAGTGGCAGAGCCTCATGAGCAGAGAGGTATGATGAGGATATCTGAGTTCCAATTTCTTGTCTAAACTAGAGGCAGGGGGCAGAACAGGAGAGACTGTGGAGAATGGTTACATTAGTATACAGGGTAGGGTGGGTAATCCAGCACCACTGGCTCCATGAACTCACCTAACTTTCCTAAGATAGGGAGAGAACCATGTAGATCATTTGCACCACTGACGTTGTCTTCTTTCTGTGTCAGCAAGTTTCCTAGCAGTTTACTTTCAGGTAAGGATTCAATTTTTTTCTCAATAGTGTTGCAGGGAAAGAATTTTTAAAATAGAATGATATCATTCATCAATCTTTTTTCTTCCCCATGCCCAAAGACTAAGTAGTCTGTTTATTTTTAAACTTCATCTTAAGCAGGGAGGTATCAAAACAGTAGAAAATGTCTCAGTCACATTTTGAATTTTAGTTCAGATCTCAAAATAAGTTGATGACTCTTTGCTTAGCAGATTTCCTGTAAGTGGGAATGGTTGTATCTAAGACTCAAGTGTACATTGAAAGTATTACACGCTTCTAACTGTTGCTAATGTTATACTGTGCTCATTGTAGACATTGCCAAGTAGTCACAACACTTTCTTGCTAAACCTAGATGTAACCTCAGACTGTTTACCAAGACAGTTGTCCAGAGAGCCAGAATCAATCAGTCATAGCTGGTATAGAAGACAAAATCTGATTGCATCCCTCAACTAGATTTTATCTTTGTTATTGATTATATAATTTTAGTACCTAATCTCACTCAGATACCCCCTTTCTCTCTTAATTTACTTAACCTAAGCAAATAAACAACACTTTTTAAAAAATTAAACTTTTTTCCAAATATTTTTATTTAATTAAAAGTCTTATTCAAACTAAATGCCTAGTGATAGGAAGTGGTAGGTCATATAACCTTTGCTCTTGTATTTTTTTAAAATTTTTTAAATTTAAAAATTTTTATTTATTTATTTTTTTCCAGAAAAAATGATGTTTTAATGTTTCCTTCTTCAGTTTATATATATATGTGTATTTATATATACACATATATATATATATATTTATTTTTTCAATAATTTCTCAATTTTTTGTTTTTTGGAACATAGTTGATTGTATGTATCTTTGGGGTACAACATTGAATATCAGTACCTGTGTGCAATATGCGATGTTCAAATCAAGATAATTAGTATATTCTTCATTATACAGTGTAATTGATTTTTGTGACCCTTTACCAATTCCCCCCTCTCCCTCCTTCCTACTCCCCCTTTCCTACCTCTAATAACCTCAATTCTGTTTTATTCTCTTGAAGGTTCAACATATTATTGTGATTTTGTATCTTTTTAAAATTTTTATTTATTTATTTATTTTAGCTCCCACATATAAGTGAGGACATGTGGTATTTCTCTTTCCGTGCCTGGCTTATTTCACTTAACATGATTTTCTCTGAGTTCATCCGTGTTGCTGTGAATGGCAGAATTTCATTCTTTTTTATGGCAAAATAGTATTCCACTGTATAAATATACCACATTTTCCTTATCCAGTTGTCCAATGATGGACATTTAGGTTGGTTCCAACTCTTAGCTATTGTAAATAGAGCTGCAATAAACATAGGAGTACAGGTATCTCGTCAACATGATGATTTCCATTCCTTTGGGTATATACCCAGCAGTGGGATTGCCCTTTTATTGTGCAACATTCTTTTCATACCTGTGGTGTGTATTGGCCTGTGGTGTTACATTACACTGCCAGCACATGTAGATCTAGAAAATTCATTCAAAACAAAAGGGAAGCCTAAGAAAGTGTCTTTGTATATTCAATCTAAAATCACAGGCTCTGCTCAGCCAAGATTGAAGATTGCAGGCCTTGTGGCAGAAAGCCCGTTTAGTTCTGTGTCACATACAGATGACCAGGCAGGTCATTCCCTTCACAA